TGTCGCTGGCCCGCACTGTCAGCCGGTGCGCGGCCGCGGCCTCGTAGTCCAGGGCGCGGGCCACCGTCAGCACCCCGGTGTGGAAGTCGACGCTGAACTGCCCGAGCGGGTCCCCGCCCACGAGGACGTAGACGAGGGCCTGGCCCTCGGGGCTGGAGGCGTTGAGGCCCAGCACCGGCGTGTCCGGGCCCACGTCCTCGTCCACGGACGCGGTGTACAAGGGCCGGTCGAACACGGGCACGGCCCGGTTGACCACCGTGACGGGCAGCTCCGCGGAGGCGGACAGGGGGGGCTGCCCGCCGTCCCTGGCCAGCACGGTGACGCTGTACTCGGCGCTGGACAGGTCGGCGCTGAACGCCTGCGTCAAGGTGACGGCCCCCGAGCGGGCGTCGACCTGGAAGTGGCCGTGGCCGTCCCGCAGGCCGTAGGTCACGGCGCCGTTGGCGCCCGCGTCCCTGTCCACGGCGGTCACCTGGTAGACCAGCGTCCCGGGCGCGGCGTCCACCTGCACGGCGGCGTGGTAGGGCAGCCCCACGAAGACCGGGGGGTTGTCGTTGGCGTCCTCCACGCGGACCCTGACCACCACGCGGGCCACGCGCAGCTGGTCCAGCTCGCGGCCGGCCTCCACCACCAGCTCGTAGGCCTCCTGCTCCTCGCGGTCCAGGGGGACGCCGGTGGTCTGCACGGCCCCCGAGGTGGGCCCGACGCGGAACTTGCCGCCCGGGTTCAGGAGGCGGTACCGCAGGGGCTCGTTGGGGCGGCCGCCCACGGCGTGGGCCACGGCGACTGTGGTCACGTCGCTGCTGTCCTCGGGGACGGAGGCGGCGTAGAGGCTCTGCGTGAAGCGGAGGCCGCTGTCCGCGGCCTCCCTGACCAGCACGGTGACCGCGGCCGTGCTGGAGAACTTCCCGTCGGACGCCCTGACCACCAGGGCGTGGCGGCCCTCGGACAGGCTGCTGTTGCTGACGGTGAGCACCCCGCTGCCGGCGCCCAGCAGGAAGTGGCCCGCGCCGCCCTCCGCGAGGCTGTAGGTCAGCGCCGGGGACGCCTCGGAGTCGGGGTCCGTGGCGCTGACCGCCAGGACCTCCACGCCCACGTAGGTGGGCAGGAGCACCGTGGCCTCGAAGGCGGCCTGGGTGAAGGCCGGCGGGCTGTCGTTCACGTCGGTCACCTCGACGCTGACCTCCACGGGGCTCTCGGCGGCCAGAGGGGGGCTGCCGCCGTCCCTCACGTGCACGTGGAAGAGGAAGCGGGCGGCGCGCTCGCGGTCCAGGGGGGCGGTGGTCCTGACGGCGCCGGTGCTGGCGTCCACGGCGAAGAGCTCCCTGGCCGCGGGCTCCAGGACC